TTTAATTATTATTAACTTCACCTACCTTGATCATTGCACTGAAATGACAAGAGTACTTGGCATTTTTGCAACATATTAGATCAACTTTCACCCCTATGAGCTCGTCTTTCACAAATTATAGGCAGTTTCATCCCCGCAGGCTGATTTGGCCAGTAGCAGTATCTTGTTATTGGGCTCTTCGATCCACAAGTTTCTAAATAAATAATCCATTGCTCTAATTTTGTTTTATGTAATTCAATCTATAAATTGATTTAAATTATTTTAAGTCAATGTTATTTAGGAGCAATAGATTCTAAAATGGATACTGCTGTAAAACCAGAAATTTGAAAAGCCACGTCCCTCAAATGTAAAAAAAAAAAAATGAGATTTTTCCCTTAAATCTTGTAAATTACATATTGATAATAAAATTGAATCAATATGTTTTAAATATAATAAATTCATAGATTCATAAAGAATATTTCAGAATAAAAACACTAATAAAATCTTAGACACCTTGTGACTGAAGAATAGCAAGTTGAGATCCAAAAGTAACTTACATATATAAGCATTTCTCGTTTTAGATTCTGTGGTCTACTCTATTTATTACTTAAAAGGGTTACTTTAATAGATTCTGTTATTCATAATTATTAATAATATTAAAATCTTACTGGGTGTCAGTACTGTGAAAAATAATACATAAGACCTCATTTGGTTCTAACCGCCCCCTTAAAGGGTTATCAGCTTTGCAGTGGACTAAACTAACTGCTTAGGCAGACACAGGGACCAGGTTCTATCCCCAGCTTACTGTGCTGGCCCTGTACCCAGAGCCATGCTGAGGCGACAACTGAGACTGGGCATGGTAGCGGGCACCTGCAATCCCAGCGCTTGGGAGGCTGAAAGCAGGAGGATCACCATGAGTCTGATCTGTGTAGTGAGAGCCTGTAGACCCTGTACTAAAATACCTAACAAGGCTATAAAGTTTACTCCCATTTTATAGACGAAAAGTTGAGTGTTAGAGACAATCAATTATTAACAAAATATCATACTAGTATCTAAACATCAGACTATCATTCAAAATCTGGTTGAATTAGATGACCACGTGCTTGACTGTAATGACTATAATCCTGAAATAATAGTCACAGGAGGCAGAGCAGAGCAGTGTCACTATGCCTCCATTTTGCCATGTTTGCATACTTTTGGGGACAGCATATTGGTGTTGGGTTTTGTAAATTTTATTCCCTATGACATCAGAAATGGATACGTAGGGGGCTGGAGAGATGGCTCAGTGGTCTAGGGCACCTACTTGGAACAAGCTTGGCAAAGCACAGGGACCACGGTTCAATCCTCCAGCACCACATGCCAGCCAGCCGCGCCCCCTGGTGGGCTGAGC